CATGGAGTCGGATTTGTACTCTCCAAGCGCCTAAATGGCCAGCTCCTGGGTGAGACGAATGACATCAGCATGCCACTAATGACTGCTCGCCTACGACTCGGAAGAGGTAAGTTTACTACTTTTATAAGTACGTACGGTCTGACCATGTGTTATCCTGGTGACACGCGTGATCAGTCCGACACTCACTTATCCTCCGTGATACGGTTTGTGCCGAGGAGCGACCGACTATTTCTGCCGGATTATTTCAGTGCGCTCGTTGGGCGTGATGCATCGGTGTTTAAAGATCTCATCTGTCCGCCTGGCATTCATTCAGTGAATGCGAACAGTGACAGGATGCTTACACTGCGTGCCACACAAGGCCCGACGATCACGAACACTTGGTTTGCACTGAGAGTGAGTGAACTAGCAATTTGGACACAACCACGGAGTGGTCGCGCCCACCTGCTCGACTGTCATCGTACGTCAGCGTGATATGCGTGAAGTGCGCATGACACGTGTGCGGTGTGGAATTGAGTGTGACACTACCAACAAGTTCTTGCGGATCGAACTGTGCATAAATATTCGTAAATCTATGTACTGCCCTCCTGCCGTGAACCGGCGAAATATAACTTTATCTAACTAGGTACTTTTCGAAAAAGATGAAGTTGAAGAAGGGGATGGCTGCACGACTGTGTGATGTGGAATGCATAGCCACAGTAGGCGACCTATAGCACGGCATTCACAACAAGGTGACAGCTGCTGTGGAGGAGACTATCGGGTGCGCAAACTGTAAGCGGCCCGTTTGGTTTGCTGAGAACAGTGCGACGATTGCGCATTGGTGGTTGAGAAGAATGCGGCATTTGCTGCACGTGTGGCAGACCCCAGTGACTTGGAAGAGGATGCTTTTTCGCAAGACTCGACGACGACTGACTCTAGATCTCCGTCGCGTTAAACATTTACTGTGGACGAAGTAGGCAATGCAAATAGAATGCTACGCCGAACGCCGTCAACACAAGGAATTCTTTGACACCTTGAAGGTGATGCACGGGCCGAGGTTGCAGCGACTGTGCACGTTAATCGATGATAGTTCCAGCGCTGCCTGCACGCAGAATGCAAAGCTAATGCAGAGCTGGTGAAATAAATTTTACTGTCTCTTGAACAACCGTTCAGATGTTGACTGGCCTAATTTGAACGGCCTGAAACAGCACGTCGTACGGGTGTCTGACGGACACGCCGACACTGAATGACGCAGAAAGCACGTGTTCGGCTGCGAAACTGCAAGTGTATTGGTGCCCACACGAGCACGTCTGAAGTATTGAAACAAGGCGGGCCTGCGTTGGCAAATGCGCTGCAGCATTTGATGCAATCCTTATGGATAGATGAGGTGTTTTCTGAGCTGAATTATGCCAATGTGCTACAACTGTATAAGTGCAAAGGAAGCAAGCACTATTGCACAAACCATCGCGGTATCAACTTGTTGAGTTGTATGGACAAGCGGATTGCCTGACTACTTCTTAACGGCTTTGTCAATCAGGTTGTGGAACTGAACGGGACGGAAGAGCAAAGTGTATTCTTTTCGGGTCGCAGCACCATTGTTATGGTGTTTGCAGCTCGTCTGTTGAAGGAAAAGTGCAGAGAACGACATCAGCCGTTGTAGTCGCTGTTTGTTGATTTCACAAAAGCATTTGATACGGTGATCCGTGATGCAATTTGGCTGTGTTGATAAATCTTTATTGTCCGTTTGATTGAATGTCTGCACATTGGTACGTAAAAGTGAGTGCATCCTAGTGAACAAGCCTCGAACGACTACACGGTTCTTTCTGGTGTGAACAAAGCTTCTCTCTGCTTCATATTTATCCTCATGCTATGCTGTCTAATGCTTTTGGTACTGCTTGTGTTTGCGGTGTTCGTGTGGAGCACCGTATTGATGGTGGGTTGTTGAATATCTGTTGTTTCGGTGCGAGCATTCTAGTGTGTGAGACTAGTAACCGTATGTTGTTGTTGTTCGCTGCTGACTTTGCGTTGTTCGCACACAGCGTGGATGACTTGCCGCACATGACTAGTGCTCTGGTTTCGATAGCGTCCAAATTCGGGCTCCCCATCAACACAAGAAAGTCTGTCTGTCTCCAAGTCCAACTTTGAAAAGTGTCTTTTTTAGCATTCACCGGAAGTGCAATCTACCAACTTGTTGCAAAGCATTATTGGTGTAACGTGCACAGTGAACGTTGAATAACTCGTAGCCAAAGATCCCGAAATCAAAACAAGTCGGATCACAAATACTACGGTACTATTAAAATATATACAGTTGATAATTGGGACATACTTCAATTGTTCAGTATCCCGGTGTATGCAAGTTGACAACAAGGTGTCATTAAACAATAGGAGGGAACGAGTTGTCTACGCCGGACAATCAAAGGAACAAGTCACCACACCTAAGTGCCACGAGTATTAAGAATAACGGCGTCGACCAATCAATGGATGGTCCAATCACAGGGTGAGAGTTTAATGGCACGCATAAACATGGTTTTCGGACAAGCGACCAGTGAACGGGGGAGGGGTGCGACGCTTGCTCCGGGCTGAACGTGTCATGTTCGACGAAGAGTAGGGTTGGAGATCCAAGGTCGTTGGTAGCCGCACACGCACGGAACCAGGGCCGGGGATTAGCATGCACACACAGACACATCTACAGCACCAACAATGGGAATGTAAGGAGGCGCACGTGAACCCTGGTCGATATCCATCAACCACCAAGGTCTGTAGACTAGACCACGAAGCGAAGAGTAGAAGGATTTCATGGGTAGGTAAGCGCGTTACAATTGGTGACGAAGTTTTAAACAACACCTGCTGCTGCTACCTTTGGGTTGTGATTTCGACTAACCAACAAATACACAGTGAGCTGCGTATCTGCGTGTCGAAGACAGTGGCGGCATTCAGGAAGCATGAGTATCGAGTGTGGAACAACCACCAGCTTACCGTCGGCAAGAAATTTATGGCCTACAAAGCCATGGGGTTGTCCTTTCTTCTATACAGCAGCGAAGCGTAGACGACGTACCAACGAGATGTGAGATATCTGGAACGCTTTCGTCAACAGTGTCCATGATGGATTCTACGCATCGGTTGGTGCGACAGAGTTGCGGATACGGAGGTGCTGTGTCAAAGTAGAATGCACGCATCGGACTGCATACTTTTGCCGAGACACTTGAGGTCGCTGAGTCATGTGTGGCATATGAAGACGACGAGGAAACCGAAACAGCTGTTATATGGTCAACCGTGTTGGGCAGCAGCATGTGGGGCAACCAACGATTGGTTACAGGACATTATCTAGGTGATCCTATCACGTTCTAATGTTGATTCAGGTGTAAGGAATCGGAGACGATTAATTGGCGTGCATGGCGCGATCTGATCACGAAGGAAGTAGCCGGAATGCAACATAAAGCCTACGTGAATGCGCAGAAAAAGCGGCAGATGTGGAAGCGACAAGCGCCGATGGTGTGCTCCCGATCGAATGCATAATTCAGGCTGGCCTAGTTAGCCAAAAGTGAGGCCACTTGGGACCAGCATCGAAACGAAGACTGGTCCTGCAGGGAACGTATGCAAAACCGGCGCAGAGTTCGTAGGTGCTTTGCATTCGAGTTACTAATCCCGGGCTTGTCTGATGAAGATTTTTATTTCAAGACTTCGGTTTGCTTTATTTTGTTGATACACACCTTTTTATCTCATTTTATTATCTACTGGATAATCTTCAATCTACTCACGCACGTAGCTTAAACGAAATAGGTTAATTTCATCAATTGTATTCACGTTTGATCACTTTGTGTCCTAATTTGAGTTCATCACTAACAAGTTGATAACGACTGCAATTCATATGGTAATTTGCTGAAGGGCTGTTGGCATATCCATATGCTTTTTCTTTATCTTTTACTTGCAATCATCCTTCCAAGTGATTGGCTGCTGCTTGACATCCCCGGTGTGGTCGCGCTTCATGTGCATGTTGGAAAGTTGCCTACCTGTCCGATACCCACCACCTCGTCTTTCCTTGATCCAGGAGAGAATTGGTCGTTGATGAAGAGAAAGTGGTGCACGGTCCTTGTCGTTGTGTTGGGCTTGAAGAATGGTTGCTTCCAAGGTGGAGTGGGTCACGGTCCACCCCCGCCTTGTGTGCGCTTGATTCCCAAATACAGCGTGATTGTGTTTGCCTGTGAAGGAGTAGGGGCCGGTTCCATTGATGAAACGTGGCTCCCATCCACATGCCTCTCGGTCTTATTCCTTCGGGTTTACACTGGATATGGGGTGTGTGGTTGGAGCTGTGGGTGATGTAGCGTGAGCCACCCATGGTCCCTTTGTAGACCCAGGTGTCTTGTGTCTGTCCCTGTGGAAGCCGCAGTGACGTACGAATCCGGAACCGGGTGTCGCTAACTATATACTTATTTCCAAGCCGTTTAAACTGAAATATCAATAGCACTAACAATTTGATTATTTCTGTCGAACAAGAAACGGATATTGTACCATGGAAAACGGGATCCGCTGATTTGTTACCAGGGAAGTTACTGTGTAGCTTCGAAATAAACCAGACGACAATCCGGGACAGAGATTAGGCTTATTATTGCAGAAGAAGAGGGACCGAATCATTAACGAAAGTCATCAGTAAAAGTGGCTTACCAAGGTAATAACTCGTTTGTTTAAGAATGGCCTTGTTTTATATTTCCATAAAACATCCGAAATACTGTGACAACAATAAACAAAGTTTGATCAGCTTTCATAAAAATGGTGAGTAGCTATTTGAATGTACTTGATGCTTTGATCACATCCCGATGCACTTAACACAAAATAACATCGTGCTGTACAGACAACCTTATCCCTGGGGTATTATCGATGATTTGATAGAAATGATAGTCTTAGAAGTTTACTACAGTGAACGTGTTGAATACAAATCTCTTACTTCCTTTCGTGACTACGGTCACGTTCAATATGTGCAGCTTTTCACTTAAAGTGAATGCATTGATATTTCATCATAGACCTACCTTTCGGACCGATTCACCTGTGACTTGAATAAGTTCCACTCCATAGTCCAATATTCCACGATTTCTTTCCCCATCCATGAAACCGATTTTGTTCTGGAGTACATTCTGTCAGGAAAAGTTAGAAACCGGGACATTTTGATATAAAAATGCGGTGGATTTTCATTCGGATGGAAGAAGGGAGAAGCGAGCATTACCTGTGTTACAAAAGATATGTTCGAGTTGATGATCAAAAAACTAGCCCGAGGCGGCTGTGTTCCTTGTATACCGCTTATGCAATCCGAGTGGAAATTTCACATGGTTGGCGGCATCCGGTTTCGGATTTGCCTGTCACCGTGGCCAGCCACAGCACGCCTGCGCCTACAGAGAGACCACGGGTGGCTTGCGCTGCACCACCCACAGCTCCATCCACATATCCAGTGTAAACCCGCATTCGGGAGGCATGTGGATGGGAGCCACGTTTCATCAACGGAGCCGGCCCACACTCCTTCACAGGCAAACACGAGCACGCTGTATTTGGGGAATCAACCGCACACAAGGCGGTGGCTGGACCGTAGCCTGCTCCACACTGAGTGCATGGAACCACTCTTCGAGCCTAGCACCACCACAAGGACCGTGCACCCCGTCCCCTCCAGCAACGACCAACTGTCTCCTGGAGCCAGATGGACGAGGTAGTGGGTAATAGACAGATAGGCACCTTGTCAACATGCACTTCAAGCGCATCCACATCTGGGATGTCAAACAACAACCAATCATTCGAAATGCCGATATCGAGTAAAGTAAGCGCATATGACGACATAAATGCTCGCCAAATGAGCATATGGAAGAAATTGGTTAAATGTGAATACGCCATAATTACAAAATGTCCGAAAGTCGTTTGAAAAATACCACGCGACAAATTTACGCAAGTTATACAACAATTTGCATGAGCGACGTGTGTAAGTTGGGAGAAGATTATCAAGTGGGCAGAACAAAAATAAAATAAAATGTAATGAATTTTATCTACATTAAAAAGACCTAAAGTGTAAGTTGGTTTAGCCCAACTAAACGCGACATGTCGAAAGACGTAAAGAAACAACTACCTGTACTGAGCGTACTGTGCTCCAATATCCCAGAATCAAATTCGACATCGATAAGAGGCAAGCAATTGGATGACCTCAACCAATGGGATACTGTTAGCAACCTAATCGGTGTCGAACTTAAACCTTTACACGTAATGCGTATTACACGACACCTCAACTCTAAACATTTCGGAGAGCCGAGACTTCTGCGTGTTGTGCTGAACTCCATCACTGAAGTAGAATCAGTACTACTTACTTAATCCAGAACCATACTTCTTCTCGGGGTTCCTGAAACCGAGGCATGTGATCAGCATGAAATAACAACTCATGATACAGAACAGTGGTGTTATATTCGTAAAACCCTCCGCTTGGATGATGTGATAGCGAAATCCATGTCACGACTGCGTACCTCACCGAACTACAAAGGAATTGGCCCGAGAGTATTGAAGGTGGTCCTTCAGTCAAAACATATGGTAGCACGGATGTTAAAAAGCTAGTACATGTTCCGTTGCAAGCTACCATCTGAGGTTAGGCTGAAGACAATCAGCGATATGCCTCCTAGAGATGACGTGTCCCTCAAAGAACCAAACGCGATGGGATCTATGAGAGAACAGTGCACTCGTAGTGTGCCGAATGAGCCCATGCAACCTGTAGAAGAGGACATTGACCAGACACCTTACACTGTACGTCGCAGATCAGATACGGGACTAACTATACGGACGATGAATAAAATGTTAAACCCTTCACCAAGCACACATCGAAAAAACGATTAGTCGCCGGCCACTCACTGGTCGGCGAAACTTCACATTTGAGTTGCAGAACCTCCGAGACATTGCTTAAATCTGAGAAATTTCATGTATGTACACTAACGCCCAAGTTCTCCTCAGTAAAATTACTGAACTTCGACTACGTCAGGTTGCGAATGCTTGGGACCTAATTTCTATTACCGAAACTTGGTTACACCAAGAGGTGACTGATGCTGAGGTTGAGATAGCCGGAATGTCCCTCATCCGGAACAACCGCCCCAGCAGAGGAGGTGGGTTCATACTCTACTACCGCAGCCATCTACAATGTGCAACCGTTGATGATCTGGAAACAAACCTTACTGACTCACTCTGGTGCCGTCTCCGATTGAGACAAAACGACACGTGTTTAGTAGCTTTCGTTTACAGCCTCCACAACGTCCACTTCGGAAATGGATTCTTGCTTGATCCATGGCCTAAACAGAGTAACACGCACTAGGTACAACCACACTCTCATCTCCGGGGACTTCAATCTACACAATCTGGAGGTTTCGGCATCGCCCAGTGAGCAGTTCAAAGCAGACTTGCATGAACTGCTCGCTAATATTCCTTTGTACAATCATGTCACCACACCCACTAGATTCAGGACAGCAAACAAACCGTCCATACTAGACCTTGTGCTCACGAATGAAGAGCTCATGGTTGACAGGTTATTGATGGATAGTCCATTAGGTCTCAGTGACCATGTAGTCATAACTTTTGACTACGTGTGTTATGCAGAGTATCCACCTGAACACTCGGAACTAACTCATACATTCACACGCTACCACGTATTGAAAGAACTCGCCGACGCAGCTGCCTGGGAATTCTCAAACAAAAGTCCCCTTGAAAACGTTTGGGCAGAGTTCGTTAATAGACTCTGCGACATCGTCAACAGAGCATCGGAGACCAAACCCCTTCGGCCCGCGAAAATGCCTTCAATTATAAGAAGTAGGACTCAAAAATGCCTGGCGATAAGGGATGCAGCATGGCATGCCTACAAGATTAACCCCGACTCAGAGACATGGAGAAATTTCCTGACCCATCGCAACCATTGCACTGCACTTGTCCGTGAGGACAAACTGACTTATCAACAGAGCCTAGTCAAAAATTTCATGGCAAACAACAAACTGCTCTATAGGCATGTCAATAAGCTTCGTAAAGTGAAGCATGGAATCCCCCCACTTTTCACGACAGGCTGTAGAGTACAAAGCGCCGAAGAAGCAGCTAATGCCCTGCGGCTGCAATACGCCCCAATCTTCGAACTCTCAACTTCTACCTGTCCCATAATATCAAGCACATTACCTACACCTTTGTTTACAAATGTTATTTTCAACCCATCAATTGTGCTGAGGAAGTTACTCTCACTGGGTGAGCATAGTTCTCCGGGAGCAGACAACATCCGCCCGAAGGCACTGAAGGCTACGACCACCACTGTCACAGTTCTTCCAAAGGTGATTTGATGAACAACAAGTCCCCACTATGTGGAAGTGTGGCATTATAACCCCTATTTTTAAAGGCGGTAGCTGTTCAGATCCTGCAAACTATTGTCTAGTGACTCTCCTCCCTGTTCTTGCGAAGGTGATGGAAGCAGTCCTCGCTGAGGCTTTAATGGACTACTTAGAAAAATGCAACATTTGGGTACCGGAACAGCATGGCTTCCGTCAACACCGGTCATGCACCACCAACCTACTGATTGCACGAGGTAGTTGGACGGAAGTGGTCGATGATGGGGTCGGAGTCGATGTCATCTATCTGGACTTCTCCAAAGCTTTTGACCGCCTTGATCACCTCATCCTACTTCAAAAACTACAAAGTTACGGAATCGGAGATCCTGTACTTGGTTGGATTGGCAGCTTCCTTTACCAACGAAAGCTTCAAGTACGTGTTAGGGGATCACTTTCTAACCCAATTGAGGTGGAATTTGGTGTCCCACAAGGCTCAGTGCTGGGACCGCGTTTATTCCTGGTGTTTACCAACGACCTGGCAAGGGCCATCTTCTCAAATTTACTGCTTTTCGCCGATGATGTCAAGATATGGCGGGCTATTGGTAACAAGCCAGATCAGGATCTGCTCCAACATGACCTGGATTGCATTTACGAATGGTCAAAGAGGAACAAGCTTCAATTGAACATAGCTAAGTGCAAGGTGATGCATCTGCGTCACCAGCCGGTGAGCGCTTACAAGATTGGAGACCACACCTTGGCGAAGGTTCCTCAGGAGCGTGACCTTGGTGTATTGATGCAGAAAGATCTCGGGTGTTCAAAACAAGCAGAGAAGGCGAGGAGAACCGAAAATCAACACTTCGGCCTTCTTCGCAGAGCCTTCGGTCGGTTTGAACCTTCAATATTTCCCCAAATTCTTAACGCCTACGTGCGACGTCACGTGGAATATGCTATTCAGGTGTGGCAGCCGTGGCAGAAACAGGATCTCATTGCTCTCGAGACTCCTCAACGAACGGCAAGCAAGAATGTCAGGGGCCTCTTTCATCTGTCCTATCAGCTTAGACTGAAATCTCTAAGAATCTACAGCAGTCGATATCGGCTTTTGCGGGAGGATCTCATAATGAGTTACCAGATTCTGAAGAGCCCAAACCACGTTTGTCGTCCGCTGCTGGAATTGAACCACAACACTAAACTAAGAGGTAACCCTCTGAAACTGTCAATTCAGTATAGCCGGCTTGAATGCCGTAGAAATTTCTTTTCTCTCCGCGTGTGCCAGCCTTGGAACGCCCTCTCTAATTATGTCGTCTCTGCTCCCAATCTGGCGATATTTAAAAAACGTGTTGACGATGCATTGTCTCACTTACATTTCATTTTATGACTTGTTAGCCAGGGGTCACAAAACGCAATCAAATGGTGTCTTGCCAAACGCCTAACCAATGGATTTATGGATTTATATGTTTAATACGCGAACATATCCGCTATTCTACATAAGTCTATGGTGAGTCCACCACAACGCTGTTCACTTTATCATGCAATTGATTTTCACACTAATTTCCATCCTACAGGACTTGTTAATCGATGCTTTTTTACCCGTAATAAACCATTGTTCCATTGTTCCATTGTAACTGCGGTGAAGAAGCGTCATGAATGCGACATCAGCCTCAGCATGGGGCACGGTCATTCCACATACACCCTCCAGAATAAAATACCGGACGATTAGTTATACACATCTCTGTACATGAATAATGAACAATGATTTATCACGAGTACAATAGCAAGAGCTTGACAAGTCCCGGAGGATGGTTGGAGTGAAAATTAAA